CAGAGCTCAGAATGAGGTTCCGATGGACTATGCAGAGAAATTATTATCGTGGCAAAATGATTTTCTTTTACGCACTGTTCACGAGATGTATAAAATTGATTGTTTATAAAGCAAACTGTTATAGCCAGCTGTTACTAAAAACTGCATCAAAAGCAAAACAATTTTTTGATGTTTGTCTGTTGAATATAGATTTTAACGTTATAGGTGCACTATGTGGTTTTCTGTCTACAACTTCATGACAATAGAGTAGCAGTATAATAGGTAGCTATACGATTCTTGTAAATATAGGTTAAGATAAAATTGAAATGTTGGTTTAAAAACACATTCGGTACCAAGTCTAAGTGAGGACAATGCCATTCTTCTGGGTTTTGGCGCCGTGTATATTCGTATGTAGATGCCAACATTTCAGAAAAACTTTCTGTCTCCATCTTCCGTGTTTCAGGTCCTATATTAATTCTTCCACTTTCCAGCCCTGAATATGGAGATAGTGCATTTAGTACATTTTCATCGCCTGTTTTGAAAATATTGTAACCAGTAAACATCATGAGATCCATTGTGTTTGTAAAAGTTAAGCTAGTACTTTATCTGTGATGATGCCTGTTAGTCTCGTTACACAAATGCAGTCAATTCAAAAATAAGATGACAAAATTTTTTGGATATTTTTTTTTTTGCCCCGTGAACATACTCCATTTTTCAAACCAAGTCATCAGAGAGTAATTTCATCTGAGAGTCAAAACTAATACAACACTATACTTTGTAATATCACTGCCTTGATTTTGATAGAAGCTAGTTTTCTTTTAAGATTTAATGATCTGAATTAGAGTCATAAAAATGGAGTTGGTGGTCTTATTAGCCCCGCCTATGGCTATATTTCTTTATAGAACCAAATAAATTGCAAAGAAATACGTTAGATGTGACATATAAAGTTTACTTTTAAATGAGCGGTAGTGGTCATAATATCTGGCGAAAGTAAAACACGCCTATGCCAATGTAGGACGAGTTGGCTGCCCTGGACGACTAAGCAGTGCAATGAGGAAGTCCTCTGCCGATTCAGAGGAGAGTGATACAAGTACCAGATCTCAGTTAGTAGGATTTTAGGTTTTCACGGCGGTCAGTCCGAAGATGACTGTCTTCTGGTTTGTGGTCCCGTGTAGTCTGGTAGATGTTTACCAACGGTTCAGAGGCCCTGTTGTTAGAGGCAGCTAGGATATCTGAAACGTCGGTAAACTTCTACCAAACTACTCGACACTACAACCCAGAAGACAGCAATCTAGAGATGTCAGTTGATAACAGCTACTCCGGTCACCATTTAGTATGAGATATCTAATCATAATACCAGCGGTAAGCTAAGTGTTTGACTTCGGTTTTAAAGATTCAGAGATGGAGTCTGATGGGGCATAGAGCATTAATAATGATGTAGTTCGAAACGCGAATACCTTAAGACAAGTGTTGGTTAGTGATCATTTGCACTATGTGTGCTGTATACCGTTGCCATGGAAATGCTGTTAAGGAGAAAGAAATGGACCCAATAAGGATTAAGTTAGACTAGCTGACCGTAGAAATTGCTCTGTTCCATGGAGTTAGTTAAGACGTTTGTTAAAAGAACTGGTTGGCGGGTTAAGACCAGTCGAAGATTTTTGCCCTAGACATCATGCCCCAGAAAATGTGGAGCAGCTAGATAAAAAGGGAAGTGTGAGTGGCACTGGGTTGGCTTATATTCACATCTGTGATTCGACGCTAAACAAATATGAAATGTATCGTTAAATCATCAGTTGAGTGTATCTGTAGCGTTGATGTAATATAGGCTTTGTGTTGATTAATTCTTTTAGGTCTGTAGGCTCAAATGTTATTCATTCTTCAATTCTGCACCAACAAACATGTTGCAATTGAAGTCCCCTTGGACTCATGGCGGAATTCCCTTTCATATGTTATTACATTGGCAACACAAAGTGTATAGCATTTTTTTAATTGACATTTTATTGTTTGCCTGAAGTTTACAGGAATCAAAATACACGGAACTTGAAATGTCAGGGACTTTTTATATAATTTTCATTATAACTTGTCCAACATGGCCTTTTTTGCAGGATTCGGACTAGACTCTCTTAATAATAAATGTGTGAGTTGTCAGGTTACATTTTAAACCAGTGCTGCGTTATAAAGTTGGAAATGTAATGAATCTAATAACATTTATTCATTAACTTTCTCATTTATTTGTCTCGGATAAAATATATACAATGGGCCTAGTTCATCTTATTCAGTCAGGTTTATACATATATTTTCAAGTCTGTATACGACTTGCTACTCGTCATGTCGTCTACAGGTGAAGTTTAAATTGCAAATATAAGAACAGAACAAAACGAGAAAGATGTAATTTTCATTACAGGCGCAACAGAATATTGTACAAAAGTTTTAGTATAATTAGGCCTAGTGCTGGAAATGTAAGAATACTTTTATTCCCTGTTCAGTGATTTTATATGGTAAAACAACAAATTTAAAATAAGTGACTTTTATCAACATTGAACCTTTAAAGCCCAACGGTAACTATAAATACAATTTTCTCCGATAATTAATTAATAAATTTATCTTGTACGTATGATTTTCTATGATTCTCACTGTATTTCTTTAAACAAGCATCAACATGTTAATGTTTGTAATAGTGAAGAATTATGTTTTCTTTGCGGTACGGATTAAATTTATAAATATTTTCCGTATTTAGACGATCGTTTGTTATAGAGGGCTACTTACTGTGTAAATGAGTAGGTTGTACGCGCTGTTAGGGGAAGAGATGTTTGTTCTATTCCCCCAGTTGAATTTGTCGAAGCAGGTTGATCCTGATGTAGAATAAGCTACAGAAACCTTCGTACTAATACGTAACTCTTATGCGAGTTTAACATCATGACGACTTGACTATTCTGGCTTCTGATTACTCAGCCGATGCGATGGCGAAACAATTGTCCGCAAAGGAGCGAAGATATTCCAGTCGCGCAGTAAATATAGTGAATCTAGAATTAAAGTTCTATATAAAATGTAATTAGCTTTCTCAAAGAATAAAGAATAGGCATACAGTTTTTATTTCGATATATAGTCAACACGACTAAGAACAACTGGTAGCATTGTGGTCATTAAAACAAAACTAAAAGATGTTATGGCCAGTAGGATCCAAGTTATTAGAGAGCCTGTGCTCATGCCTGGCCTCGTGGGCGTTGTTCGTGTTCAACATCGCAGCCGAGCGCTGTTTATTTATATCATTCAATTGCTCTGCGTTTTGCTTCGCTGTTAAGAAACCTGTAAGCCTCTTTCTGTATGCATACTATTGTGTAGTATGGGTATTCTAATTATAATCGTCGTCATCATCAGTATAGCTAACTAAAACACGTAGACCTGTATTTTAACAGGTAGTTTGTCTTAAATTAAAAACACCACACACTTACAGGCTTAAATTCTTAGCAAATAAATTGAGTCAGCCGGCAATTTATATCGAAGTCTATTGACACCAATCAATATATGAATGACTGAGTATAACTTGGCTTACATAAATAATACCAGATGCACCTGCAGTATTGCAAAATATGCAGTCTTTCAAATGCACCTAGCGGTACAGACAGGTTCATGTTTGTCGGCCTGCAAGTTGTAAATAATGACATGCCCTGAAGGTGCCAAACCCGAAACACGTAAGAAGGGTCTTCTTTTCTGTGAGCTAGCACGTCGGAACAAACTGAAGTGGCGTTATTCAACGAAGTTACCTTGAGATGAGATGGGAGTGACGCTTTGGGAAGATGTTAAACGCATGCAACATTTTGGTTGAAAAGCCTGAAAGGTAGAGACCATTCGGAAGACCTTGATTTTTTGTTTTTATGTTTTGGAAAGGAGAATAAGATACGATTATTTCGGGCGATTCTCAAGTACGTGAATATCAGCGTATGAAATGATATGAGGTAATGTTTATGATGTTTATAAAGTTGCATGGGCAAGTTCATTAGTGGCCGCTGTTCTGGTGCTTTGTCCGTGCTAATTACAGACTTACATAACCCAATACTATTATGCTGGAGTACTCATCAGTTATACAACAGATTCTACAGCATAAAAAGCTCTGGTGACAACTGACATGAAAGTAAATGCATCCAACCAGATGTTAAAACAGAAAAAAATAGGTAGAAAAATCCAGACCATTGTTTTAAATGAGTCTTATATGATATAACGGTGTGGATCTATTTTTTGGTAACTTGTCTAAGGTGACCCAGTGTCACCACCAAATTTTGACGGTTCTTCAAATTTGTTTGAAAATGAAAGTTGATTACACACAGTCGAATTACATTTATGTATATCAGACAACTCTACGCTACCAGAGCCATTTCAAAAGCTCTAATTCTGACAACAGTGCTGTTAGTAACAGAATCGTACCGAAGTTTTCAGGCGATTGTACAACAGAAAACTGAAAAATATAGGTTTGGTTACAATAACGCGAACTGAAGTAAGAATCAGTAGTTTGTAACGAAATGTAGTCACTTGATAGGAGTAACAGAAAATTGTGTAGGGATTAAATGTGACAGGACATTTGTTGCGCTTCGAGTGTAGGCTAAGTTTGGAAATACGAGCCCTCGCGACATGTGACCTTCTTTCGCTCAGACTGCCGCTAGATACATTTGCGTAGTTTAAGTCGGTTTGGCACAGGTAGATGACAGGAGTGGCTGGTTAGTACAGCAAGCAGGAAGCGCCCGTTGAACAGAGATAGAAATACAAGTTCTTGCCGTGCTTAACACCCATTCAGCTGCGAGTCGCGAGCGAGGTAGGACCACAGAACTTTGTCCCGTTCGGTTCTCCTATTCTATTTCCCCAAGTTGTAACACTTATCCCCACCCCGTTGAGTGGTAATTGTGCTCACCAAAACTTCATCCTCCCTTATACATGACGTCACACATCTTCCTGTTCCCATGACGTCCGAGGACCAACCACCACTCGTTTTGCGACTTATTAACTAACTGTTCATGTTTACTTTGCAGGACGACATCCTCAGCGAGTGGCGGTCCCTTACTGACGTCACACGTGAAAGCCTCCAATGGACTGGGTACTGGGGCGGGACACGAGTTGATCGCCCCTCCTCCGTCGTCGTCGGTACTTAGCCCCGCCTCACCTGCTACTGTGTCTTCTGCTGCAGACCTGCAAGGCCTGTTTTTGCATCACCACCACCACCAACAACAACAATTGCACCATCAACAATTCATCGTAAAGCGAGAACCGGAAGACTTGAGTCACCGCCACAAAGTTTCCGGCTCGCCACCTGTGCTCGACACGGGCACAACTGGGAGTATTATAATCAGTGGAAAGTCTGGTAGTGCCGGAGGAGGACCACGACATAAGCTCGTGCTGGTTCCTGCTAATGGGGGCACAGCGGGTGCAGTGGCAGGGGACCTAGTCGTGGATGTCGTCAATAACAATAGCACCACGATCAAAGAGGAGATCCCGTCACACCGAGGCCTCAACTCCCCGCAGCACGGCAGCCGTTCCATCAACGGGACGCCTTCCTCCACATCGTCGCTCCTGGGGGCAGACGGTGGCACCTCGACAGCCGGCGGTCCTATAGAACTGATAACAGCGGACGGTCTCAAGCCCCCGATGTCTTACAGCACCCAGATATTCACGTCCATGAACAACGCTCAACATCATGGTGGGAGTGGAACGCCGTCCCCCATACCGTACACTGATCATGTGCCACAATACACGACGACCGCCGTGTCACAGGGGGGTGGCGGTGCAGGTTATGTGACGACGCCATCGACAGGAAGTATCCGTGCCACGAGTTCCGCTTTCGCTGTAACGGATCCTTATTACCGAGAATATTTCACCCCGGTGTCCGGAACATCCTCGGCCGAGCAGGGATACACGACGACGCAAGTTCGGCAGCAGATTCCACCCTACGCGGACAGTCCTGAAGGACCTGGTGGAGGCGGTGGTGGTGGCGGAGCGTCGAGCGCCACCACGGCGTCGATGATGGAGCGTTATGTGCGAAGCACCGTGTACCACAATAACAAGAGTGCTGTGTCGGCAGCCACGGTTGCGGGCCTCACGGTGGACTTACCCTCGCCCGACAGCGGGATAGGAGCCGAGGCAGTCACCCCGCGCGACCAGACGGCTATACAGCAGGTGAGGCCAGTCTTACTAAGACGACGTATAATTAGTCTTAACAGCGAAACTCTGTGTAATCGACTTTTTGCATTGACTCTGCCTGACACAACAAAGAAGCAGGCCTTCAACTTCGCCCTTCGCGGAAACTGATTTTGGAATCCGTTTTTCCTGAAATTCTTTTCCATTTTAACTGCCTTTTAAGAAAATTCGCGTGAATGTAACAAGAAGCCTTAGTCGAGTCTGTAACTGGTCTGTGTCAAGCGAAGTTTCAGTCGACGTAGATTCTATTGGCTGGCACCGACCTAAAATAAAGTCGCCAATAAGTATTAGGAATAAAAAGTACGAAGAGCATGGAATATAAGAATGTAAGCACAGATACAGTCGATTTCCGTTGCAGGTTGTACGATTGACGTAGCAATGCCATCTACCAATCAAATTACAGCATCCATCTGACGTCACATTGAGTTTGTGATACTGAGGTCACTCGCATGTAACAGTGGCTTACGTGTAGTAGCTGCAGCTAAGTTATGAGCTACAACGGATCTTTCGGAATCTAAGTACAAAACTTGGACAAGATTTCGTGCACGTCGTACATTGTATTTAATAGTGAATTATACTGCTTAGCTTGCAGGATTTTGAAATGTTAGTAATTCAATTAAGCCCGAGAGTAGGTTTAATTTAAAGAAGGGGACTTTTGCTATGCAATTGCCAACTTTTACTATTATTCCCGTCAAAGGGAATTTTTGATGGCAAAGTGAAGCAGGTAAAATTACAGTAGACTTACGCCTACACAATAACTTGTGCTGTTCTTATAGGTCTTATTAATTTTTCAGATAAAAATCTACAAGCAGGCGTGTTAAACATAGGTTTACGTCACTTGAAAGGATGTTTCAGGTAAAATATCTGGTCCCTAAAGAAATTAATATTTTAGGCCGCTTTCGAAGATGAATTATGTGGACGAACATACAGATACGTTCTCTAGATTATAACTTTCTTTTACGCGTTTTGTGCAAAGAACGTGTGGGCACTGAAACGGTGTACAGATTTAAAAAATGTGTGTTAACTATGTAACCTTACCAGCTGTTTTGTGTACATTGGAAACTGGTCCATAGTGAGGATAGTGAAATATAGGAGGCCCAGACATGTAACTTTCAAGGGGGAGGAAAGGAATGCGTACAGAATTTTTGTAGACAATTCTTCTGGAAAACGACCACTGGGCAGACCAAGAAGGAGATGGTAGGATAACATCAAGGTGGATCTTAAGGAGGTTGGCTATGTGGATGGCAAATGGATGGAGTTGGCTCAGGATCGTGGCCGGTGGCAGGCTTTGGTGTTGTCGGTGTTGAACCCTCGGGTTCTGCTGCCAGAGAGTTCGTTAGTTATACTCGAAGACAGTCTTTATACTCGCCGCCGTGAGAATCTCAGACCACGTAATTTCATTTCGCTGTTTTGATGGCTTCGTGGTTAATACGTAGCAACAATTTTCAACAATGTTATTTTTAAGTTAATTAACCAATGAATCTTGAGCACACCTGTGGGATTTTCTAACGAACAAACAGGAATGTCAGACGGTGCAGCCTGAATTAACGACAGTGATATGCATACATACAGAGGGACTGGTTTCCGACAATTGCGGCTGTAACCAGCTGGGTGGTTAGCTACTCTGCTTCCTACCTTGTAAAAGGAACAAATATTTCTGACCTGGGGGCAGCAAACCAAGAATAGGAGGGATCCACTCGTACCATCATGGCCCCCCTCAAACAGTTCCAGACCAGACACAATGGGGCCATAAAATATATTCCACCTCATCCCATATCATCCTAAACAGAACAACAAAAAAGGTGTACTTTTTTATTCAATTGTGAATTCCCCCTCCCCCTTCGGAAAGCCAGTTGAATATAATACAGAACTAAATATCTGACGCTGTCTCCAGTGTCTTAAAATTATATCACAACAGGGTGCTGAGCAGGATATTTGGACTTAAAAGGGAAGACGTAACAGGAGGATGAAGGAGTTTAATAGTCTGTACTTTTCAAAAAAATATTATCACGGGAGATAAGTTGAGCTTAGCGGGGTAGCATTCAGCAGGCCCTACGTAGACTACCGCATTTCTGGTTGTAAAACCTGAAGAGAAGAGGTCAGTTGGGAGACCTTAGCGTAGATGAGGATCATCATCATTACTGATTAAAATTGATCACAAAATACTGTTGTAAAATCAGTTCAGAGTTACTGAACCGAATTCCTGAAAATTTGCATTAGTATGTACGTAGGTGCTCCAACGCTTGTTAAATTGGTAAACTGATTGAAATTGACGTTTCACAGACACAGAAAGTAACTACCGTTACCCGATGTCACTGACATAAACATGGCTTCCTTTTCTAGGGAGGTTCATGAAATGTGTTTGTTTTAACAAATAACCGTACAGGTCTGCTGTTATGTCTTTGTGATTTAGTTGTTAAGATAATAGACATACGCAGAAATTTCATAATTAAGTTATGATTTGAGCTGGTCCAAGGTGTGTTTATGAAATTAACAGTAAACAGCCCTAAAAAGACTGATTTCAGTATGGCATTCCTAATTTCACCTAGGTATGCATGGCGGGGTTAAAAATATATACCGGAAGTCTAAAAATAAACCCTGAAGATCTACAACACGTTTGACATTTTTTTAATGACCTATACTTATTAAAACCTCCCTGTCACACGATAGGGTTTTCAGTCTTGAAATTTCGTTTCTGAATAGGATAAATCTGTTGACATACTTATTTAAAATTAAATGTATTTGCAGGCTGTGGTTTTCAATAACTCGTTCCATATGGATATAACACTTTAGCTTGTATTCAGTGTGCTGTTACGTCGCCATAGTAACACACATCAAACTACTGTCACTTAGCAAGCTAAGTGAAGCCATTACGAACAGAAATTAACGTCACGGGCAGGAGCACACCGCACATTACAAAGAAACTGTTCTTATATATGGTTGGTTGCGACTTTTCATGTGGTTTGTTATACGAGAAAATTTTATGAGCAATAACTTCGGTTACACAGTTGTTGTAACCTAGAGCAAGCCCCTGAAGTATGTACTGTCCATGTGTCAATAGCAATACTAAATTTTAATATCTGTGATGTACTTCGTTATGCATATTTGCCATGCATGTCCGTCCACCTACTGGCTGCTTACTTAGCGTATTCATAAATGTTTAATAATACCTACTTTGTGTCATATTTATCTTACCACCACATGTGAAAACGGAAGAAATATGGTTAATAAAATCTTTACACTGATGTGTTTATTGCTTACCATGCTCATTAAATTTAAGGCATGCATTTAAATCTTGGTCTTAATGTTCCTTCTGCGGTTGTAGACAATTTTGTTGAAAGCTTATGCATTGATACATGTCCACTCCGTCATAGCTTACAAAATCCAACAGGTCAAGCGACAGTTTTGATTTATCGATAACTCAAAAAGTGTCTCTTCATGTTCGACTTTTAACGTGCGCCATCCTCCAACAAACTAATGCGACAGTGTGCGGATCTCTGATAATGTGTTGTATTCGGCTTATGGAAAGCACATCTATAGGGTTATAGGAAAAGAATAGTAGATAACGTTTTGATTAAAGTGACTACCATCGACATTTTGGTTGGCAACGCGCCGAAGAGGGATAATTTGTTTTGTATGTTGGCTATTCTCCTGAGACTTCCTAGTGTAAATGAGATGGCTAAATGTGAGATCAACCCTCCAGACTGACATGAAATCCGAAAAATTTAACTTAAGCCATAGTTACTTTTAGGGGGTGTGTTCAAAATCCTCTCTTTCCCCCCACGAATTGTCTAAAACGACATGGGCAAGTCAGTTATTATGATAAATAGCCTAAGGATGACGAAGATTTACTCGATAAATGAATCATAATTTTAAACGTGTGGTTCTCACGGTGTGAAGATTTCAGTGTTGGTATTCTTGGTTGTAATGTCGTGTAAGCTTATAAGTAGACATCAGAGTTTCGGAGGAAAATATTTCTCTATTACAAGGAGCAGACTTCTGTTCAACATTACGACTATCAATTCGTGGTAGACAGTCAAAGGACTTTGTTTCAATGCCGAATGGATTGGGAAGACGACGATAATAGCGAGTACGCAAGAAATTAGTTTTCTTTGCCTATTTGAAGATATTTCTCCGCTACCTACAACTCGGTTATTCACACAAATATTAATATATAGTCTTCTTTAAGGAAATCAAGATATAATTCATTTAACTAAACCTTTGGAATTAAATTCTAGACTGACTTCAAAACACGGTGTAATAAAACCTTAAAGTGACAGCATTTCAGTTCTTATTGTTCAGCCTTTTAAACTTCTACAGACCTTCCTTTGCAGTAGAGCTAAGAACGTGACGTCTAAATAACAGACTAGGGAGTTGTTAAGTTGTGGTGCAACCACACAACTAACAATGGACACGTGTCACGTATTGTGCTCACACCTTATAATGCGAGTTTACGATCAGAATGTAGTGCCCGATGACATGTTAAAGCAGTCTATAACTTTATTATTCCACATCGTTACAGTTTGCGGGCGCATTGTGTGCAGAACGTAACTTCTTGTACTGTGAAATCCCGTAAACTCATATTAAGTTATAACTTAGATTGCAAATCACAGTGTATTTCTGCGTAGTGGCCTGGCTGACACACTAGACTAGATGGTCTTTCTTCTAGACAATCAGAAATGTTATGTTTTTATCAGTTCTAGGATTGTGTCTCCGGGGACAGAGTTTTCAATAACTTCTATTAAATCTGCACCGCAGAGAAAACATTACAAAACTCAACGGTTAATTCTGTTTAAGGAAATAATATCTATTTATTCTGAGAATCATTCATAATCCATAACTACAAAATACAGAGTTACTATATTAAAGCACCTGGTACATACAGTTACCACTTGGCTTTAAAAAAGTTAGATTATCGTATGGTGTTCGGGCAGAGGTTAGGCCGAATGAGATATAAAGTTGAATATTATTATTATTAAGTGTTCTGTCTTACGACAGGTCCATTGCTCTGCCCTATTCTCGGCAAAGTTGAATATGAAGAGGAAAAGATTTTGCAGGTATTATCGGCATTCACATGAGGGATAGAGAATATTCTATGTTAAAGTTGTTTAACTTGTCAAATATTTATTATTGAATTACTTCAATAACTGTCGTATAATATCGATAGTATTAGTTGTGAACATAGACCTAATAATTACGACCTTACCGTATGTTAAATTCTAAAACACTTAACAGTAACTCCTTATACCTACTTCTGGCTTTCTCGTTATATGACATTGCGTGCTGATAAATCCTTTGCTAATTATACAGGCTACATACGTTTATTTGTCCTGGGGCGTGCTTGCAGTAACGTTAAAAATCATTTGGTAACCTGTAGGGATATATCCGTTACTTTACTAGATAGGTCAAAATGAGGCCATGTGAAGAGGAATGTTAAGTGATTTGACTTTTATACTTTCGTCGGGTCTAGACGTATTTGTTGAAACTCCATAATGAACTTGAAAAACATTCAGCGTCCATGATCAACGTTACTATTAAATCGAGTTTTGACCACATCAAAAATAACTACATAATTATAATACACATTCCACAGTGTATAGAAATAATGAGAATTATAAACTAATATACCCTAGACTTAATTTCATCTCTGCGTCCGAAAAAGTGCCCAAAGGGCTCTGCTTAACGTACCTACGAAAAAGAAATGTTGGGACTGGAGAGAGAAAATGAGTAATGCAATTGCAAATAATATATCTTGGAGTGACCATCTCGAATACAAGAAAACATAGCTAATAACCTGTTGTGCCTTCCTCCTCCTCTCCACTGGCCTCTCCAATTCGACGTGGTAACAGTAACAACACAATGGTGGCATTATTAGGGTAGCACAACAGCGCGTTTACAGTGAATGCAGTGTGATTAGACCAGCGGAGTGTCTGGCTAGTTAGTTCCTATGCTTTTCTGCATTGTCAAGAGGGAAGAGTTTGTTGAATTGATATTCTTTTCATTCAGTCGCACATTCTTTCTTTTCGTCTTTAGCCAATGATTTGCATTATACAGGAACCATTTTAGAAGCTAATTTCAAATTACTTTCTTAATACCATTGTAAATCGTACTGTATAGTTTACAGCCTGTGTGTAATTGCTTTAACATTTGCCGATCGATATGTTCACATCGCGGTTCAAAGTTCTTGAACTACGGCGAAGGGCAGCAATAGTTTTGCCTTTAATATCTTGAAGAATTTATCTTAATTACGAATGACGGGTTGGGTTTGTTGCTAAAGCCTCTGGGTGCAGTTAGTGTCTCGGTATTCTTTTTCGTGCATCCAGGTTCTGTTCATCCAAATAATTTGCTAATGTTTTGTTTCGTATGTGTGTTGCAGCCAATTCAGTTTGAAATCTTTCTTAAAACTAACAATATTTGAACATCTGAATTGTATCTGATATTCGAATTTCCTTGACGCTGTGGTAGTGTGAAGACCTGTAAGACTTAAGAACGTCATTTGTGACTCTTCCGGTATTAAGGCAGCAGAACATGGTCATGTGTCCTGCTGGACGAACCAGAAGTATTGATTCTAGAATCTTATATTAGGAACAGTAACGTGGTTCATAAGTGGGCAGAAAGACTTCTATGGTATTGAGGCAAAGAGGGATTTTATATTTCAGGAGAAGAGCGAATATTTTCAGACGTCTGTGCAAGAGCTGAAAACATGCTTTACAGCCTTTAGCTCGAAGGTTCGATTCCTGATGCTTTTTGAAGTGCATCCAGTACTACTAGACGATCAGCTTTGGTTCTTTTAATTTGTTTATCAACCCTTTCCCACATTTGCCTCTGACCTTTTATGACCGCAAGAGGTCCTTCTAACGGTCCTGGAAATGACATTATTGCTGGCCAGTGTATTACAGCTGAGGAACCCTTTTATGAATAAATTATTTACTGGGTCTGGTGCCGCGGCATTCGTGTTGCCTGGGGGTAGAGTATCGTAACAATACATAAACAGAACCCGTTCCTTCTGAAGACACCAAACTCACGTCACTGGCGGTATAACGGGGAGAAGTGGGAGATGATAGGCTACGTTCAAGCGGTAGAAACGAGGTAAGAAAGAAAGATAAAGGAGAGAGCGCATGATTGATAGCACAAACTTTCAAGACCTCAGAAGGATGTGATCGTGGCTCCTGTAAGGCAAGCATTTTTTCCAGGTATTTGCCTGATGAAATTTCGAAAATACAAGAATGGTCGGAATAGAGATTTTTACGATAATCGGTTTGTAGGTTAAGTTATGTTCTTCTCTGGAATCGAATCCTGGTCTCCACCCTGTATTCAGCAACGTTGCTTGCTGGGTTGCTCCAATTTATACATTTAGTCGCAGAAGTTGGTTCGTGTTCTTATTGTGATGGATCGATACAATAATGCGATCTGATGTAAGTTGAGAGGCAACATGAAACTAAATTTCAAGAAATGTAGTTGGATATTTCCTCAAATACGCAACGAAAAGTCTTCTCAAGAAGGAAGATCTCTATTTTTGATTGTAACCACGTAGGTGCCAGAAATACTTTTGTTTGAACTGTGATGGTAGCGACGGTCAGTTTATCGTTTTTATTGTAATTACAGCCATGCGGTATCGATAGCTGCTGGGAAGGAAAGGAGGGAGGGGTAAGCGGGAGTCGTGAGTACCCTGGCACAACTCAGCCAGAGGACTGACTGTGTAGCTCTGGTACTGAGTCTCTTGTAAAGCAATTCTTATCGAGATATGACTTCCGTGGCAAAATGTTTCAAGCCCGACGACCCGAATTTTGCCACCAGGCAGATGGCGACGGCTGTTAAGAACGTTCGGAGGACGAATCATTTGATAAGGTGTTCGTTTGCCTGCCATTCCTGATAATTTAACACGCGAGTTGATTGTTATAAAACTCGGAAGCGAACATATTTAATTTACCCCCTTCAGTCTGCATTTCAACAGACATTTTTAAAATTTTTTCAACAATTTCCTTAGAAGTTCAACTTATAAATTCACTTCGGTTAATTTATCATTGATTCTTTGTATCCGATGTTTATCTAAATAATTTTAAAAAATTCAATCCGTACCGCAAATAAAACAACATTTCACCACAACAGAGACCATTTGTTTAACGTAGTTTAAGTAATCCCAGGTTTACACTGAAAACCATGCAAAATCCATACTTACGAAATATAAAGACACTGATTGGCAAAGTAGCTGGTACATATTGTTACCATAAGGCTTTCAAGAATTAATAATAAAACTGTATAGTAATTGGACATTCGCTCGACCGATCTTAATTGTCAAGTATTCTCTTCAACGTTCTTCTTCTTCTTCTTCTTCTTCTTCTTCTTCTTCTTCTTCTTCTTCTTCTTCTGTGTACATTAATTTATACTTTCTGTTTAATATAGGGAGTCTGGAATTCTTAAATGCTGTAACTAGTTAATAACATGTTGTATCTTCCGTACAAATTTTTATGTATTTGTGCTTCTCCTGTCAGAAGCTGCCATTGCGCACAGCACGTGACCTGTGGTTCAAAATGTTGTTACAGCAGTTCGATTACACCGACCTCTGCCAAGCAGGACCTCTGCTGAGCGACCCGGCATTGGTAGCCCAAAGAGCAGCTGCAGGACAGTCCCCAGGGCACAGCAACGCAGGGGGTAGATCGCGACCCTGGCACGATTTCGGCAGACAGAACGACGCTGACAAGATACAGATACCCAAACTGTGAGTACCGCAACTTCTGTCAGAACTCTGAGTTTCGCACTACGCTACATGTCTTTTGCGACTTATTCTTCATAATTCTGGACACAGAAACATTTAATTGCTGTATGATTACAACATTTATAAATGCTATTGAAATTAATATTATATCTGGCAGGTATTAATAATAAAATTAGTAAGCCCTAAACAAAATTTATTTTTATTATATCTCTATATAATAAGTAATGTCGGTTTATCATCTTTTGAAGAAATAGGATAATATTATTATCGTTGACATATTAACGCTGTCAAAAGTGGACTTTCCTTCCTTCCTTCCTTCCTTCTTCAGTGGCTCTACGGTACTCTGAGGACCTTGGCCTCCCTTATCACAGTCTTCCAGTCATCCCTTGACTCTGCCTTTTCAGGTCGGAGCTAGTAAAAGATTGGAATCAGTTAAAAGTGGACTACTGTGTAGTTATTACATCCTCGATATAAGGTCATGTATGAGGTTACAGGACATGAAATCAAATTATATAATTTAATTAGGCAAAGGTAAGTAATAGTATTATGTATATGTATATTTTATGTGCTACTTTATGAGCTTTTCTAAGTCAGACTTGATATGAAAGCTATATTCTTGCGCAATTTGTCCATATATCACAGATAAATACATTTTCTTTTGAGAAGTGTCCCTTCCAGTCAAAACTTGGCGTTATGACACAAAAGCTAGTCATAAGTTATCGACCAGTTTCATTTGCATTCCGGTCTGACTAGGAATTGTGGTTGTGTACGGCTTAGTTCTACGTTTTGAAAGCAGATATGTCTGTCTACCTTACGACTTGGCTGTACTTCTGATTATCATTCAGGGTTTCGTGATGTTTTGGATTTATTGTCGTAAGGAACAATTTCCGTATCGAGAAAGTGGCTTCAGAGGAAACATTATTTTGCCAAAATGTCCAAAAGTCTTTATATGTAATTCGCAGAAATAAGGCAGCTACTAAAGAACCAGTGTCTTAATGACAATGGAGTTTATGTTATGAGTTATTTAATTAACTGGCTACGTCATTTGTGAAACCCATAACAATTAAATGAAAAGTTATATTATGTGATATACAATAAAAATAGCCAAGAACGACGGAAGTGATCACGATAACTAAAGTCCAATAGCAGAAACAAAACATCTCGTTGCATGACAAAGCAGAGGCGTGGTTGCCTCACAAGAGGAGAAAGCAGCCTAAATGATGCAAGATGCCACAACAGAACGAGCCCATTTTCAGTTTTGCAGGACTATTTAGACTTAGTTAGGTCCATTCCTTCTAAGAATACATCAAACAAATAAAATACTATACATTGGGCTGTTAGGGACGAAGCTTTGTCGACGAGGACCGCATTCCTTTGAGTGCGATGGTGTATTCAGCCATCTTGCTATGCTCCTCTCGAGATGTCGCAAACATAAAGAATTTTTACTTCGTTCTTTAATGTGTAAAGTTGGACATCTTTGTGATCTGAAATAAAGCAAGAAATAAATATCATTGTGGGCAACTATATACTAGGACATCGAGTGTTCTTGTGGCCAGTTTTATGTTTGAAGTATTTTACTGTTTTCTTCAGTAAAAAGCCGTTTCAGTTTAACAAGTGATTGTACGTATTCCTACAAGGATAATTTTTCACAGATTTCTGTCCTTAATCTTATAAATTTAAATAAAGTAGTATTATTTCAAGGCACTGCACAGATTTCCTGTTTCTCAATTTCTTGATGCTTTTACACGATCAAAAAAACATTACAGAAAGAGGCTGGCATGAGTAGATCGTAAACACGGATTTAAATACGAATATTATATAAATTCTAGAATTTGTCTCGAGATGAGCAGCGCTACTAAACTGATTAAGAGATTTTGTGAGAATGAATTGTCTAATTTACTGAAGAGTATTTTACACGGATAATATATTGTTACACTGTTACTGGAGAAAGGTTTAAATAGGAAATAAACATCGATGTTTACCTGGGTTGTAACGCCATGTGGACTTACAGGCAAATATCAATGGAAATCAATTTGTCCTTAGTCTGAAGCTTTCGTTATCAGCTATAAGGTAGGCATCTGTGCCGACCCGATTAGGTTCTTCAATATTATACAACGTCCTAAATATTTGCTCTCAAATGTTTGCATATTAAAACTGAGGTACAGATATCCTATTTAAGTCCATTCGCTTAAGATTTTCAAGATAATGGCACTTTGGTACTTCAATTCGTTCTTCCAGGTTGAGAATTTCCAGTTATCTGTTTAGCGTATTGCTATGAAGCCTGCATTATCATAATAAAAGAGTTTTGGAACTCGACTAGAATTTCATTGCTGCTGTTTGTCTTTTTTTTTTTTGGTCTAGGTGAAGTTTACATATTGAATACTTGAAATGTAAAACTTTGAAGACTACAGAACATATTTGATACTATGGCTCTCATTTTACGACATCAGAATTTGTGAATCTGCTGTCAACTGCAAAAATGCTAGTCTTCGTTCAAGGTAATAAAATATGTTACGAAAGAAGTGCATAGTCGTACTGGTATTATTGTGTACTCCATAGAACGTAAATGAAGTACGTATGAGATTACAGACCTATAGGTTTATGCCCGCAATCGTACTAAGGATGACAAAATTTATATAATCTTGAATTGTTTATTTTATTTTCCGCAATAAATGTGTATGGGGTTGACCTTTTTCGTGATACGGTCCTGTGTATGGGCTAGTCGTATGTAACATGTTACAGTGCATTTATACTATTGAATAAGGCTAATAAAACACCAAACTGGCCCATTTGATATATATTCATTATACGTTATGTTCTGAACACTTAAATATGCTAACACCAGAAATTTATAACCGTAACACTGAATATGTTTGTTTGCGTTAGTAATATAATGGCGATCCTCATATGCGAATATGGGTTATTTTACATTACGTTGCGAACGTAAAATTAATAGCAGTGGAAATGAAAAGTCTGCTAATGTTGTCGTGTTTCCCTCATGTTATATCGTAATGGATAATTTAGAATGGGTGAATGTGTTTGTAATATTATCTACGCCTACACTACTCTCATTGAGGAGCAAAATTAACTAAACTTGGTTTGATTTTATAGGTGACAAAAAGTAGGTATATTTATTACATAAATCATAATGCATGTTTTTCTCATTTTTAAAATAATATGTTAATTTATTCACGAACTTCAGAAAAGTTTGAAAAAGTAAATGTAATTAGTTACTAAAGGGATGTTGTCTCTCTAATTTATTTGCTCATATTCGGTTCCTTTTTTAAAGTGTTTGCCAGTAGCAAGGAGCTTATGACAGGCAAACACTAATAAATATATTGGCCTACAATGAACAAAAATAGCGTAAAAACAAAAGCAAAACAATACTAGGTGCATATCACCAATAAAAACATTTTCTCCAATCGAGAAAGTGTCCTAAAAGGAAACATTGCTTTCGCCAAAAGTGACCAGAAATCTGCATATGTAATTTGCAGCAATGACGAACGTACTTAAATGAGCGCACATCTCCCACTTGAAACAGTGCCAGTAGTGCGCTTGTAGTGCCTTGTAGGCACCAACTAATACCAACACTGTCCATGATGGAATGGAAATTTATTTTGCCCTTGAAAATATTAATACGAAATAAAGCAATAAGGTGTCGTCATCTGGAGTAAAGTGTTCTAAAATCTAAACATCTCAACGTTAAATCATAATTACGTAAAATATGAAGCTGAAGAAAATAGTAGTGATAATGGAGGCAACAAAGGAGCAATGACGTCAATGGTGATGGTTGCATCACCTAATTAATCGTATTATCAACACGGAACTAAAATTCTGTGGTAACATTATTGGTTGTTTTGTTTAAAATTAATTATTGCTATGGCTGATATCCGGTAGTTATAGCGGCGAGTCTGTGTAAAAGAGTCAACAGGATGTACAACTTAGCGTCACTACTCAGGAGGAAGATCTGTATTTTACGTCGCTGAGGGGGGGGGGGGGGGGGGAAAAAAGGG